ATACATCCTCACAGCTGGTTTGTATTGAAGGATACAGTTACAGAATAGCCATACATGGACTTTGTGTGTTCTCTCACATGTATTTTTGGAGACCGTATAATGACTCATTGCTCAGCACATTCAGAGTTGAACTTCATAGTTGAAATTCAAAGTACTTGTAGGGGTTACCTTGCCTTAAGCACAGGGAAGCCTTCGGAAATCATATAGTTTCTCTTAAGATTTGAACCGAGTCCCAGCTGGTGTCTTACAGTAAGTTCTACACTCTCTATCCCTGGAAAAAAGCTGTTTTCAGTATGGTCTGTACAGAGCTATTGTGCATAACTGTACACATAAAGGGGAAAACAAAAGTAGTCCCTCATGCATGTAGTACATTATAAAAATTCCATATTTGTGTTTTAGTTATTGCAGATTCCTTTGGTTGACCGCTTCATTTTTAAGCCTTTTATAAGTGACCAGGACACTTATTTACGTACTGTATATTTGTCGAATGAGCCCTCATAAAAGTCACTTAACACCATAACTGTCTCTATTTCCACAGACCGTGAGGACCAGTCCATTCTCTGCACGTAAGTAAAAACCTGTCACCTCCATCCTCACCTTTATCAACTTTCCTTAACCTTTTTCCGAGATGTCACATTAGTACTGGAAGGAAGGCTGTGTGTGTATGTGTGGAAGAACAGTTACATAATGCTTGTGGAAACACAGATTAAACAAATGAGAGGCCTCTGTGGCGTCTCAGCATACAGTCTCAACCAGCAAGAAATTATTCATACTATACGAGTGAGATTTTCTGAGGTTTTTGCTGGCTGGATGCCCGATGCTTTACTTTGCCAGATTATGTTGCCTTGGAGTTGTGTTGTATTCAAATGGAGCAAAACTGAGTATGTGCTAATGTTTTCGCAGTGCTCCCAGAGGGCTGCAGCTTTGCTCTCCTCACAGACCCTTAGCCAGGAAGTTTGCCCTCCTGATGGGAGGCCCAGATTAGCTCTCTGAATGTTTGGGCTCCTTTTGGTTTGTTTATTTGTTTTAAACTAATTATTGGGACCTTTAACTAGAGGATCTGGCATCCAGGATACAAATGGCCTTTTGTCAAGCAATACTAGCTTGATCTTTGGACTGGCCTGAACTTGACCCTAATTCATAGAAAACAAAGCTTATATAAATATGGTATATTCTCTGTTTTTCAAAGAACTGTTTCTACTTTTGTCACTGTCTACACACAGTTTCCCCACTTCAAGTAAATGCATAGCATTTGCATCACCAGAAGGATAATTTAAGTGCAGAAGGACTTTTATGCACTCAGTCAAACAAGATACACCAAATATGAGATGTAAAAATAAAACGGTACATACAGTATGACTGTGCACTGCAATTGAAAACTCTGTGTATGTTCTTCTACTGAATCTGCTACAGTCACTATATGCTGGCAGATTAGCATAAGGCAGCTGGTGCAGGCCAACAAAGCTAACAAAGATTATTGTCTTTGAGCCAGACAAACCTCAAAAATGATAGCATGTGGCATTGATTTCAGAACTTTTCTCATATTTTACAAGATTCCAGCTGAGTTATTTTTTTCATTGAGTGTATTTTGGTCATGCTAACAGTGATTATATTACTCATATTCCTCCACACAGTTGCAAGAATTTGGCATGGGAAATAGCTGTGAGCCTACTAAATTCATTCTCAGGATGGTGACATTTCAGCTGCCCAGGGTCACCAGTTTCCTTGGTCTAATATTCTCTGAGTGTGTGCGTGTGTGTGTGTGTGTGTGTGTGTGTGAAAGACAGGACTGATGGGATGAACATAAAGTAGCCAGAAGTTGACGAAGACCACAGATTCACATCCTTGTCTGACCCTACTTAGGACTCGAGTGCTTCACATGAATTAATAGAGGAATCCAATTCATTTATCTCTCTGGACTGTACGGATTTAATGTTTTTCCTTGTAATGTAAGGGATCATTTGGCTTGGCAGAAGACTGAGGGGACAAATGTTTGTGTCTGTGCTGTTAACATCAGTAGTTCGCAGCCCTGCTGACTTTTGACCCTTTGAAATAAATTGTAATATTTTTAGCAGAGAAATCTAAAAATATTCAATATTTTACTTAGAAAATTCTTTGAAAAGATTCATTCAAATAATCTTATGATTGTAAGTGAAAGCTGTACTGATGGTAAGCAGGACAAGTCTGACAGACCATCAGGAGGTGAAAACTCCCACCAGATTCTATTCTGTACTAATAGCTGCCTGGATGTCATACATCCCTATCAGGCCTGAACAGGACAGAGTAATGAGATCCCTCTCAGAGCCGCCAAGCCCTCACACAGAGAACATCCCCTGCCTTTTATGGACCCATGTCTAAGGATGGGTCTGTGTGTCGGCCCGCTGGCTGACGGCTCTGGGGTCATTCCAATCTGTCTTTCTAAGTGTTCAAGATCATTTCCTGGAAAGAAAGAATGCATCTATACTTCTTTTTAAAAAGATTTCAATTATAAAATGCTTAAAAAATAGCATGCAACCTTTGATAGACATTTGATAGACATTTCCTGTGTATAGCTACATTGTCTATTATCAAATAAAGGCAGAAATACCAGGAAAGAAAGAAAAAAAAAACATCCAGGCTTACTGTTTCTGCTTTTCTCCAGGCTTTAAACTAATCAAAGCTCACCAGCTGCTGGCTTAAGGGTCACATTTTCTGTACAGATAATAGCGGTATCTTTGCATTTAACTCTTGGCAAGAATGCAAATAAATATGTTTCTCAAAATGTCAAAGTATTCTTAATTTTCTAACTTTAAAATCACATTTGCCTTAAAGTGTATGAATTATCAAAGTGATAGTGATCAGTCTAAATGCTAATATTATCCTTTGTGTCGGGTGCTGGTGCAGTTATGTCTGCTACACATGATTTCCATTCAGTTAAACTGAGTTATAGAACTGTAAGCAGAAAACCTGTTTATTTTCTTGTTCTCTCTTAACCATCTCTCCTCTGCATCTTTTAATCCCTGTCTCGCTTTTGCTTCTCTAGCGGGGAATCTGGTGCTGGGAAAACAGAGAACACCAAAAAGGTCATCCAGTATCTGGCTGTTGTGGCCTCCTCACACAAAGGCAAGAAGGACAGCAGTACTGTAAGTACCTATGTCAAGAGTTCATGTTGGATCAAGAGTTAGGATCTGCCAACCAGTTTCCTCACTCTTCAACATGTGTAGGAAAATGCCCAGTTTAATCCTGTATGTTGCTATTTCCTCCAAATAGCCACAGTCAGGATCACAGTTTGCCTACGTGAGTACAGGGGAATGCCTGGAGTGTTTTTGTGTGTGGTGTTTGTGTTCCTTTATTAGGTTAGAAAAGTGCATGAAAGATAGTGTCACTGAGTTTACCCCCCCCCCCAAAACAAATTTCTT